ACTTTCATCAGCAACTGGTGTAGCGAATCACTCCTTCCATTAAATACATCTAAATGTGTAGTGCTTTATCTGGGCAAGATCTCTTGCCATATCATTTGAATGGACAATTACTTACCACAATGTCAACGCATCACGATTTAATCCTCTCTATTAACTCTAAACTATGGTCAGACCATATAAGCTCAGTGTGCAAAAGTGCAAATACTAGATTATTTTTATTCCGCAAAACTCAAACTTGTTTTTCAAAACTTCTTGCAAATTGTACTCTAGTTGTGTGCGACCAATTATTGAATACGCTGGTCGGGTGTTTTGTCCCGATCTCATCCGTGATCAAAAGTTACTGGAAATCTATATCTGCTTTACGCTCTCAATGCAGACACCCGATTACGTGGACATGATCTGAAACTAAAAGAAGAAACAAGGACTAGACATTTTTTCTCTAATGAACAGAATTTTTTCCACCTCCATCGATTATCAGTGCGCCATCAGTGAACATTTTTAAGAATAGACTAGATGCATATCTGTTTTCATACAACTGATATACTGGTCTGGCCATATTTTTATTTCCGATACAAAGTTAGTAAATTATATAAATATTTCACCAGTCTCCCCTAATAATTCTGACTCGGCCCCGTATCATTTGTATAACTTTATGCCATCGATATAAGGGAATAAAAAAACGCCATAAGAAGTGCGCAAAGTCTACGGTTCTAAGCTCTCCTTGACTATTGGTTAATTGCCTCTGTCTTGCATTAGGAATTTGGGAACAACGAACATCTAAGATACGTACATACGGAAGATAGAATACTGGACAATAATTACGTTTTTGATTTATTGCAATGGCATAAAGAGTATAAGCCACGGCCTGGAATTGACAACAGTGTTGCCAAACGTTACAGTAATTTGTAGTTATTTGTACGATATTTTTTTACAAGAATGATAAGAGGTTTTAAGACCATACAAAAGCATTCCAACTTTATTACAAATTATTTATAACCTTTAGTAAAAACTAAAACGCTATTCTACAATAAAATGAGTGGTAATTCTTAAGCAAAATAATGAATTATTTTCAAATGCTTATTAAATAAAAGCTTATTCTTATTATTAACTAATAAGGTGTTCAAACAAACCACCTGTTTGAGCTTCACAATACCCTAATCTGTCGTAAAATTCTTGACGAACATTTGACAAAATTTCAGGAGTAACTGATCCTAAAATATCTCTAATTTTAAGCCATAATTCGTCCAAATTTGCGGCTCTTTAGTGTCGATATTTGTAAAGAAGTTGCGTTAAATGACCCCATAAAAAGAAGTCGCAGGGTGTCAGACCTGGAGATCGAGGAGGCCAAGGTATGATAACTCTTGTGAAAATAAGATTTTCAGGAAAAGTTGTTCCAAATAATCTTGAACTGGCCTTGTGTTGTGTGCAGGACATCCGTTTTCCTTAAACACTATTTTGTATTAAATACAAATATCTCTCAGCATTTAAGTTACCATCGATAAAAAAGGGACCCACAATATTATCACCTAAAATGCCAGCCCAAACATTTACCTTTTGAGAGTACTGTGTTCTTAATGGTATACTTAAATGCTTGTTTTCCCGGGACCAATATTGGACCACTGAAGGATTATGACGGCCAAGTAGGGAAAAAGATGATACGTCTGTAAATAAAATCTACCTAGCAAATTCATTATTTTCATCTATTTTTTCCCTAATGGATTCACAAAACTCCATACGCCTTATTTGATCACCAGTAATAATTTCTTGAGAAGTTTGTATTTTATAAGCTTTGTAACTATGCGATGAACTATACGACTTGGAATGTCAAGTTTTTCGGTTTGGGAGGAAGAATACGGCTCACTTACTTACACAAAAGCACCCCCTTTTTTCTCCTTGCTTCAGGAATTTGACGAGGTTCCTGATTGATACTTTTCGTACACCGATTAACACATCCACACTCCTCAAACTTATGAAAAATATTCAAAACAGTTCTAGCAGTGGGAACTGGTTCGTCGGGGTATGAAAATATAAATCGACCAACGACTTCCTCTGCACTTTCTGCACGACAATACTGCTTCTTACCAAAGGTTTGAGTGGAATAATAATAAAAATAAACAAACAGCAAAGCGCTTTAGGTATTCGATCGGTTCACAAAAAATGCAACGGGGCAATTGCGCCAGCCAATTACGAGAGTCCGAGTCGCAACCTCGATGATATATATTATGTCCGACCCCTTTTCATCCGAAGTTGATAGGGGAGATGCGTGTAATTTACTTAGTCTATGCGAAAGAATTACATGGCCAGACCGGTATGTACCTACATATTCAAATTATAATGTACAAACATGTAAACTTAATTAAGTCATAGTATTGTACGCCACTGGAACCCTTATGTATGTTATATTTTTCTCTTTTTTTTGCATAACAGGTTCTTCCTCTGCCCTAATCTTAATTTTAATAATAATAATAATAATAACAATAATAATGACTTTTGATATTATTTTCCTATCAATTTTAAGGAATTTCTCGCATTTACATAGATTCAGCCTTTCTTATTCTAATTTTAATTTGTTTTATAGTTGTCAGTTGGTAAAACCCATAATAAATTTTAAACTAATCTACAGTCACAACTGGAGGTCAGGGGTATTTCTGATACTAAATAAACAACAAATAAATCACTTTTAATAAATATTTACTATTTTAATCACTTTCAAGTTACTTGATTAAAAATATTATGTATTTGAAATAGTAAAAAAAGGCGAGTAAGAAAGGCGAATAAATAATGTTTGATCTATGTTCAATCTTGAAAAGGTAAAAATGTATATCTAACAAACTAGTTACAGGTTTATCAAATTCTGCACATGTTTGTAATAATCCCTGTTTTCACCTATTTTATTGTAATTAACTATATTTATGTAACAAAAGCCGGGACAAGTGGTAATTTATTTCTTAGTTTTCGGAACCGATAGGCCAACTCAGACACTAAAATATTTCAGTCAACAATAACACAGGGCAACAAAATTTGACGAAAGATCACACCCAAAAACCAGACCTCAGCTGCCCTAAGGTTTTTGGTGCGCAGAATCCGAATCCGACGTGAAAATTGCTCCTATACGTCACGTTTCCGAAATATCCTAACCTAAAAGTGCAAAAAACACGTTTTTTGCACTTTTAGGTGAAACTAATCATACCCTCTAAAAGTACCACTTTTACCCTTCAAAACGCTTTTTTCAGAATTGAAAAATCTTTTTTATTCGCGGAGATATCATTGAATGAAGTTAGGTACTTTAACGTTTTCATAATAGTGGTACTCAAATTGAAAACAGTTCTTGAAAAAGCGGAAGTAATATATTTACATGATTTTTGAGTCGCCTAATCCGAATATGACCTCCACGGAGCCATTTAACGTGCTTCTATGTTAAATGGCTCCGTGTTACAGTTATACCGATAGTTCAGCCTAAAATCGGTGATTTTGCAGTTTTAAGTTAGGAAATCTCAGAATCCTAAAGTGATAATTTGGAGGTCAGATTCGGATTGGGCGACCCAAAAAACATGTAACTTCCGCTTTCTGAAGAACTTTTTTCAATTTTAGTACCACTGTTATGAAAACGCTAAAGTACCTAACTTCATTCAATGATATTTCCGCGAATAAAAAAGATTGTTCAAATCTGAAAGAAGCATTTTGAAGGGTACGAGTGGTAGTTTTAGAGGGCGTGATTCGATTTTAGAAAAATAAATAAATTTAGCTCAAATATAGCAAAAAAAAAGGTTTTTTTTGCACTTTTAGGTTAGGATATCTGGGAAACGTGACGTATAGGAGCAGTTCTGACGCCGGATTTGGATTCTGCATACCAAAAACCTTCGGGCAAGTGAGGTCTGGTTTTTGGGTGTGAAAATTGTTGCCCTGTGTAATTATTGAAAGGTTAAGGGGTTTCAAGTAGGTTTAGCTTCGCCATAAAGTCGTCGAGAAACTAGTGAATTTTGTCACCGGGAGTAATAAATTTGCAAAGCCTTCCTTCGGAGAAGACCTCATGAAAATCAATGTTTTTGAACAAGTTGACAGACCGTCGGGGCCATGTGTTGGGCATCTGGTAGCGATGATTTAGCCCACTTTGAAGGGAAAAATCGATATTTCTAATAACGCGTGAAATACATTCAAAAAGACTTTGGAATTCCAAGATATTTAAATAAGTTGTTAGAATGTTGTGAGAAAAATAATAATAGATCAAATAACTCGTTTTTAGGTGGATTTTCCAAGCTATAAGAATAGATTAAATGAGATTGACTAATCCATCCCGTGTTGCTATACGAGTCACAAGAGGAAGGTGTAAGGTTGTTTGTAAGTTCAGTTTAGTCTCAAAATTATTCATAGTTAAGCCATTTCAACGCCCGATATTCAGGGAGCCCATCAATAAGATAAGAATAGAAACTTCCAAGAAATGGGCGTGTCGAAGCGAGATGTTGAATTCAGGAGAGATCTCCGAAAAAAGGCAGAGTCTCAGGTTTTGCCGAATTTTGCTATGAATTCGCATTGGGTTCCCTGAATCTCGGATTGTGTTATCGCTAGTAAATTAATTAATAATGTTTGTTCGAAGCCGTTATTTTGTTTGTTTGTTTCCTTCTTATTGTTATTAAAACTCTTCCTGGAAAGTTTTGGTGTTTTCTTGTTCTTCCAACTTAAGTGTCAGCCTATACAACCTAGCACCATTCTACATGAGCGACGTACGGTAAGTGTCTGGAATTCATTCTCTTAACGCACAACATTTCTAAGTTCCCACGTATTAATCAAAGTGTAGATGATAAAAATTATAAACTCCCTTTCGAGAAGTTAATAGTAAACTCATGAAATCCAGTATCGTTATGATACTGGTCATAACGGTAGATAGATAAATAAAGAAATAACCCCTCAGGTTACATTTAGAATAAATTGTTTCTTTTCTCCCTCAATTCGATAAAAAAAAAGGAAATGTTAGAAATGGAACAGAATTAAACGACTTATTTAAAAACAATATTTATTTCTTCAATTCTATAATTTTCCATTAATTAGAAAGTACTGTATGATGACTGTTAGAGGTTCCAATATTATTATTGATTGCAACATTATATCCATCTCCCAAAGAGGCAATCTTCTTCGACTGTGTAAACGACCCATCACAGTCGCAATTTTTGGAGCTTGGATTGAAGTTGAGACTTTCGCAGACGAAATACAAATCACGCATACAATTTATGTCGTTCCACTTACCGTCAGTACGCAAAAATTCAATACAAAATTCATTATTTGCAACGTTATTAGGCTCATTGGGGGCCCAATTTGTGTAAACCATAGGTTGTAATTCCGACCATATCCATTTCTTGTCTGGTTGTTTCTTTGCGGATACCCAATAGTTATCAGCTATACAGAAAATAGTCCCGAATTAATTAATTTCTGCAAAATACTACATGAAGACAAAAATAGTCGGAGAAATCTGGTTGCTATGTACTAACATTTCAATAAAACTTTAAATTTTTGAAGTAAATTAAATCAATTTAAAATTTAACATAACCTTACTAGAATTATTTTGCTGAACCACTTTAAGGATGACATCACTCTTTCCCTGGTCCAATACGCTGGCAAGTGCCATACCATACTGCCTGCATGATTCTGAAGCTTTTTCTTGTGTTGCCTAAACCCAAAAAAATAATTTGAAGACTGCTGACAATATCAAGATTTCTCTTAAATGAATTAAGACAATCTAAATAATTTGAAATATATATATATATATATATATATATATATATATATGTAGTCGTGTTACGTGACCATTTTGTGATAATACAGCTTGGGATCCATACCATTTTTTAGGGGATGATTTCTATATCCACATAGAATAAAATTTTTCACAATAGAAGATTTCTACGTGAGAATTGAAATCATCCCCTAACGGTGTTCCATGCTTCCTTATCAAAGTATTATACCACTTTAATTTTCTCCAGAAGTTGGATGACAGGTATTTGTAATTAATACATGCATGTTGTGTCTTTTACTTACTTTGAATTTGCTGACCCGGTATTTCACTCCATCTACCGTCGTTATAAGCAGATTAGGATTGTCTGGATATTGAGTAACTGTCTCTACAAAGGAAATAGAACATACTTTATGAGAAAAGTCAAAAAACTTTTAAACATACATTACAGATACATTTTAGATGAAATCACTTTAGTTAAAAAAATATCGGTCGAATTAATCAGTTTAGAAAACTATATTACACCGCATCAACATAAATTTATTTCCAGTTATCAGCGTTTACCTATTTTTTGCATTATCAAATTTGACAGAAAGTGGTCAACAATACTTATTATCTTGTGACACTCTCCATAAATAAATAATAAATTTAGAATGTCAGCATTTAAATAAATGTTAACGTTTTCCATTCTTTAACAATAAATAATACTCAAATAAACATTCACTGTATGTGTTAAATTGACAACAATAAACTGATGACAGATTAGGTGCACTTAGGTGCTTGTTTTGAAGTTCTACTAAAAATTTCACAGCCATCCTCGCAAGAAATTATGCGATATCCGTTGACGGGACGAATATCAGTAAATACCTCAAAAATCAGAAGAAAGGTATAGGGAACCATTATACCATTCGAAAGAGAACAAGATTGTTCATCAGGTTGCGGAAAAATATACAGGGTGTTCTATTAAAAAAATGTTAAGATGGTTTAAAATTGACTAAATTCGCATTAAATTTCTATTATCCTGTACGAAATTAAGTCATTTTGAAATTATGGCACGGAAACATAGTTTTATTTATGTCCTCTAGAAATTTTATATATCTAACTTTATTATTGTAAAATACACATCCTTTTGAATTAGGCAGTCCTTTTTTAATTTTTTTTGAAAAAAAATAAATATATAAAATAACGGTTAACTTTATGAATAGAAAACCTTTATGAAAGTTCACCTAAAAATTTACGTAGGATCCAAAATTGCAATAATATACAGGGTGTTCCATTTAAAATAACCGGAAGCGTTAGGCGAATGCCATTATTTTAGTTGAGAAGGGCATGCCCGAAAACACTATTGCCCAAATTTTCAAAATTAAAATCGAAGTAGTCTCTGAAATATGTCTAATGTCTCATCACTGTGGGATTCCCTGTATTTTTCTTTGATTTCCAAAAGAATTTTGATAACGTGGACCATATTATAAATTATGTCTAAATACCTGTGCCATATGATAGATAATTTAATCCCTTCAATTAAAATTAATATAAAGCTTATTCACATGATCCCCAAGGTTCCTACTTGAGACCGCTACTGTTTTTTTTATTTTATCATTCGTCATTTTGTCAAATTCTGCACTTTATCTTCACTGTATATTCACTGTTTCGCTATTATTAAGTGTTTTACGGATATATTTTTAACATTAGAAAAAAATGTCCCCTTCAGTTTCCTCTAATCAGTTCAATCAAAAGCAGTAGAAGATATATGAGATTATACAAAAGAGACTTAAAAACAATATTTGTTCAATTTCTAATTTTTCAATAATGTTCTACTTACACGTTCCAGTATTATTATTAATTTTAACATTATACCTCCACCGTCTCTTGAAGAAGCAATCTTTTTGGATTGACTTACCATGATTGTTGTTGACATATATATTTACAGTTGGATTGGAGCTTGGATTGAAGTTGTTGCGACTTTCGCAGATGAAATAGAAATCACTTTCACAATTTATATCATTCCACAGACCACTAGTATGCCGAAATACAATACAAAATTCACTCCCTCCAAGGTTATTAGGTTCACTGTCAGCCCAGTTTGTATAAACCATCGGTTGCAGTTCCCACCATATCCATTTGTTGTCCGGTTTTTTCTTTGCGGAAACCCAATAGTTATCAGCTATACACAAAAAGTAGTCCAGAATTAATTAATCTCCACAAAATAATAATGAAGAACAAAAATACTCTAGAAATGTCAATTCTGCATATTCAATTTTTTTAATAAAAAATTCAAATAAATGAAATTAAGTCAAAATTTAGCTTAAACTTACTAGAATTGTGTTGTTGGATCAATTTAGTGATGATATCATTCTTTGCCTTGTCCAATATGCTGACTAGTTCCATACCATACTGCCTGCAAGCTAGTAAAGCTTTCTCTTGTGTTGCCTAAACACAAAAAATAAAGACAAAGGCAATATTTTCATTTAATCTAAATAATTTGAAATATAACAATAATAGTTCCTGTTTCAAAATGTGCAAAATGTTATTTGCTTTTAGCATTTACATGCCATGTGCCATACTTACATTGAATTTGCTGATCCGATATTTTACTCCATCTATGGTAGTAATAGGTAGAGTAGGATTCTCTGGATATTCAGTCGCTGGCTCTTTAACCGTAATGAGATTTAGTTTATAGAATAGGCAAATTCTTTAGTAGATTGGAAGGGACAATTTTCGTTGCTTGATTTCTATTCTCTTTATATATCTTTTGAGGCAAATGTTTCAGGTTAAAAACTAAGTAATTTGTCAGAAAAAAATATGAATCATATTTGAAAGAATGAATGCAGTTAAAGACCGACGGAAATAAATTTGTACTTCTGATTTAGGAAGAACTGAACTAGTAGGAATAAAACGTAGGCGCGATTATTTAGGATAGCGGTCACCTGGGGCTACGCCCAGTGGCTGGAATCTGGAATCTGGAATTTAGGGAGGGTATCTTAAAGGCTACAACACTTAGGCCCCATCGGACCCTTGTGCTTCCTCCCGTTAGGAGATCAATCCACCTGAGCCGTTAACGAACATATTACAGAGAAAAAGATGATGACGTTGCTCAGGGGGATCTCTCTAATATAGGCCACAGAAGGCCAACGTTCTCCCAACACGGATTCTCTTATTGACGGGACGGTAGTGCATTCGCATAGCACATGTAGTACTGTCTCATCTTCCTGTTCGCAACCCTTACAAAGAGGTGTTTCATACTTCCTCATGTTGTGAAGGTGCTTCCTTAGCCAGCACTGTCCAGTTTGAATACCTGTCACTAGGCGAAGATTTGACCTAAACATGGTCAGGTATTTTTTGGCTGTATCCTTGCTGGGGTATTCTAAGAACTCCTTAGCAGATTGACAGCTATTTATATCGTCCTACCGTTTCATAAACTATTTGTGGGTGTTTTCATTAATAATGCCAATAAGTGCTGACAACGGAAGCACACTGGAGGGACCGGGTCCAAAAATATTAAGACCCGATGTACTCTTGGCTTAACTTGTCAGCTTCTTTATTGCCATTGCACCGCTCGTGTCCCTTGACCCAGCATACAGATATGTTGTTGGAAAATGAGGCCACGACTAGTGCCTGGTGGTATTCCCATACTGACCTAGTCATTATCTTATGATTACGTAAAATCAGCAATGCTTGTCTACTATCTGTGTAGATTCTAATAGTTTTCATTACCTGCTAATTCCGCTTGTACCACGGTAGCATGCATATCCATTGCCCACTGATATCGAATATGCAAGGATCTAGAATAAATTCCACATCCTGCACGTTGACTATATCTTCGCGGGTGGTCTCCTCCTGTCTTCTAATTAGTATGGTGTAGGGTCTGTCGAACGCAAACCGAGGAGAAATACTAAGTGTCTGCTTGCAGAAGGGGCATCTTCCTGACGACCCCATTCCATAGCTTCTCCACATCCTACATCAGATTTGAAACTAACGTTCTTGAGGCGAAGCATGGTTGTTAAGGCCATTTCTCTTAGACAGACATCCAGAGGTGCCAGACACAGCATTACCTCCATTGCTATGGTGGGTGTTGTTCGCATAGCTCCAGTTATGTTCAGACAGTTGTGCTCATGCAGTTCTTTGTACCTGGCTGAGCTTTTGTTTAGCTGTCGTCTGCTGAACTTTCGACTACCAGATGATAGCCCCGTAGGCTAACATTGATCTCACAATGGCAGTGTATATACACGTAACCACGTTTGGTTTCATTCCTCAGGTTCTACCAACGGTTCTGCGGCACTGCTCATAGGATATATACGCCTTTTTAAATATTCTTTCAAAATGAAAATTCCATGTTAGTTTTGCATCGAGTGTTACCCCTAGGTATTTCACATCAGATGCAAAGCTTAGCGTAGTGTTTTGGAGAGTTGGTGCCTTTATTGGCACCAGATTTCTCTTCCTCGTGAAGAGAACAATTTCTGTATTCCTGGGGTTGACTGATAGAGCATTTTTTTGGGGCTGTTTGCATTCTTTGGCAAAGAGTCCCATCGAATTTTCCACTGATTAGCATAGTGAGGTCATCTGCATAAGCGATGGTATAGATGCCCATTTCCGAGTTGAGGTGGCATAGGAGACTGTCTAGAATTAGGTTCCATAGCAGTGGTGATAAAACTCCTCCCTGCGGGCAGCCCCTTGCAACAATTCCTCTCGCGGAGGCATTCCCCATACTGATTTGTATAGCTATTTTAGTAAGCATATTCGATTTCATCTACGCCCAGTGACTTTGTGGAGGTAACTATTCCAGACTCAATCTTATTTGTGCGGATATATATATGTTTCTAGATATAATTGAGATCATTTCTGGAGTTAATACAGTACCGGAAAAAATTAAAGGAACAGAAAATTTTCATGAATTTTTTATTGAAAAATGGTAGTATCGAGACATTTTGAAACTTTAGGTCTCTACTTTCAAGATTTTTAGCCAATTTTTTTTGAGCTACGGTTATCGACTGATCAGAAGAAATACCTCTGAAAAAGAAATTTACAAAAATAGTAGTTTTGAAAGAAACTGTATTTAGAAACGTAAGAAAACTTCGAAAAAATATCGAAAATCAATCTGATGAATGTGTATAAATCGAGGACGAAGGTATGCAAAGGCCGAATCGTACAGCAACTTTTCATAGAGAAAAACAAATCAAAAAGTTTTTGAAATATTTATTTTGAAATTTTCTGAATATTTTTTTCTTAAATTTAAACTATTTCTAATAGCCCGCTGAAAATAGACATTCAAGGTTACAATAATTCGCATAAATCTGAAAATTGGTACGAATGTTGGTAACACCATTATAAATTAAATGTGAAAAGTCCACATCGATCCCACATCTGCAAAAAAAAATTATTCAAGGTCAAAGTTCGCAAATATGAGTTTTTTGCATTTTCTAGCCAAACGGTAAGTTTTATCATAAAAGTAGGTAGGATATAAAATTGTAGATCACGCAATTATCTATAAAAAATTCTCTTACACGTTTTTTCCTAAAAATCACCATTTCTGAGATATAGCGATACAAAAAGTTGAAAGTGTTCTGTCTGTTCTCCATATATGCACAAGTGCATCTTCATCATCTGATGTCATTTTTTATCAATTTATGAGAGGACCCACAAGCTAACAAAAATTTATTGCAAATACTCACAGATCTCGGCTCATTTCAATGTTGAAAGAAAAATTTATCACTGAAAATATTTTTGTCAAACAAGCTGATAATGACGCTGATGTCCTGATAATTGAAACAGCAATAGAACAATTCAACTCAACAAATACATCTATTGTTGCTGGTGAAAATGTTGATTTATTGGTATTACTTACTGCTCTAACTCCAACCGAAAAAACTATTTATATTTTACAATCTGGGAGGCTCAACAGCGACCAGAAATATTCATCCAAAAGTTTATCTGGTTTTACAAAATGCGAAAATCACATACTATTTTTACAAGCAATAACTGGCTGCTATACGACACCGGCAATTTTCAGGAGAGGTAAAACAACAGTTTCAAATTGTTTGAAAAACAAGATTTAGTTAATTGTGTTAAAGTTTTTAAAGAGAGTAATTGTACTCCACAAGCTGTAATCACCAACGGAATTTGCTTCCTTCTTTCTGTATATGGAACTCCAAAAAAAATTATCTGCTTATTGTTAGATAAGTTTCCATACTTATATCTTGTAAACAATCTCGTAACAATAAACGAGTGCAATTAGTCATCTTATCATTAGACATCTGATGCATCGCTATTAGAACAATTTACTTGTATCCAGCAGGAAGAAAAAGAAGGAATAGAAGAAGAAGAAGACATTACACTTGAAGTTCCATTAGATAATTATCAATCAGACGAGTAGTTTTCCCAATTACTCATAATTCACACCGCTTTCATTATTTCCAATAGTACCATTACTTATTTAATACAATATTATTTAATTAAACAGGACCACAATAGATCGTGGAATAGGCCTACCGGGAAAACCACATTAAAAAAAACGCGCCAAGTACGCTACCTCACAGGTTTCGTGGAAATGTGTGCATATTATGGAGAACACAACTTTTTCAACTTTTTAATCGCTATATCTCAGAAATGGTGATTATTAGCAAAAAATGTAAATAAATTTTTTATAGATAATTGCATGATCTACAATTTTTGTCTGACCAATTTTTATGATAAAACTTACCGCTTGGCTAAAAAATGCAAAAAAAAAAAACATATTTGCCAACTATGACCTTGAATAAATTTTTTTGTAGATGTGGGATCGATGGGGACTTTTCACATTTAATTAATAATGGTGTTTCCAACATTCGTACCAATTTTCAGCTTTATGCGAATTATTGTAAGCTTACCCCTATTTTTTGAGCTACTTTGACCGGGTTATAATGCAAAATTGCGGGAATAGTCGAGAAAATGTCTTCTTTTTCATTTGATAACTATTACATAATGTGTAGGAGCAATAAACGTGTTCCTTTATTTCTTTCCAAAACTTTGATCACTTAGAAAAGAAAAACCGTTTGACAAACTTGGCAATTTGCAGGGTTATTGTGGGTACATTGATGTCAAGGATGAAAAAAATTTGTTTCTTTCAAAACCATAATAGGTCCTCGTAGAGAATTTATTCAAGTTTTCAAAACTGCCCTTGGATTTACTGTGCACTAATTTCTTGCAGAGATATCGACTATTATTAAAGACAAAAGTGTTATATTTCGTTCAACCATCATATCTCGGCAACCAATAGTTTCATGGAGACTGGTCAAAAATCAAATTGTAGCCAAGTAAATAAGCTCTGTATTGATTGAGTTTGAAAAAATGTTCCATGGACGGTCTTAAACAGAAAAATTTTGGAAATGTTTTTTCGAGGTAGGTAGGTAGGTACTTATTTATTTTGATTTGATTTGATAACCGTAAACCTTTCATAAATCACTAAAAAGTTTATGAAAATTTTTCGTTCCCTTAATTTTTTCCATTTGTGTAGCACAACTGGGGCAATAGAGAAGCAAAAATAAGGTTTCATTTTTGATATACTGGACGTTGAAATTTGAAAAACATTTGGAATATTTTCTATAATATCTATAAGTTATTTGACACAGAGTGATGGAATTTGGGCTAATTTTAATTAATTAAAAAAAATACACAGAATTTGAATACGTATGTCAATATCAGAGGAGCCATTGCTGCTAAGAAACCAACAAACTGAAGTTCACTGAATATTTTGAAAATTCGTATACAGACTGTAACTTCTGATGGTGTCTTTATTAGAAAAATTATTTTTGTCCAATATACAATAATGATAATAATTAATTTTAAAATAAATCTTATTGAGTCCTTATAATGTAATCAAAGCAACTAACATTATACAGGATGTCCCAAAAGTGACGCCCGTCCTTATGGGTTTTGATTAAGGGGACAAAAACAAATCGAAAATCAAGAGTGGAAAATTTTCCGATTGTTTTTCTTTGCTGAATTATTCAAAAAATTATTCAAAAAACTAAAAATAAAGATTTGGACTGGGTTATTAAATATTTATGTATGTTTTTACATGAAAACTTATCATTGCCATTGCTGCATGACGTTCCGTTAGCAGTTAGACTAAATTATTGGTTTTAACATGATGGAGCTCCATCACATTATGGTTTACGAATATAAAATTATCTGAATCAAAACTTCCGAAACAGATGGACTTGGAACAGGAGGACCATGGCCTCCTGGATCACCAGATCTGAATCCCCTAGATTTTTCTTTTGAGATTACTTAAAAGAAAAGATTTATAATCAGCATATTCGCTGCTGTCGCGTTAATAGATCCAGAGATGCTACAAAGAGTTCATGCTTCAATGTTGAATCGTGATAATCTTTGTCTTGAAGTAGAAGGCAACTTATTTGAACACCTTTTGTAAAAACAATTTCTATTATTTAAGCACATTATGGTTTTTGTTTATGTTTTATTATTAAAATGTTTTTCTCTATCCTATTCAGGTTAAAATAATTCCTTACACCCAGGTACAACCGACAATAGAAAACTATACTTATCTACTATTGGTTATAAATTATATGTTTTGGTCTCCATAAGCACAGACCTGTTTTGAGACAAAGAAATGAATTTTGACTTTTTTAGTTTTTTGAATATTTTTTTGAATAACTCAACAACGGAAAACAATCGGAAAATTTTCCACTCTTGATTTTCAATTCGTTTTTGTCTCCTTAATCAAATACCAGACGAACGGGCGTCACTTTTGGGACACCCTGTATACGTCCATGACAGGACTGTAATCTATATAATATATAATTTTCCGTTTCGACTAACTTCCCTTTTACCTATCCAAAATATTGGTTGGTAGTTTTCTTTTAGCTTTATTACTCTAGTTTTCGGATTAAACTAATGCAAAAAATTAAAGCATCAAAAGTATTTCAGAAATTTTTCCGTGATTTTTTACTGTATTTAGGTGAAAAATGGCCGTATCGGGAATTTAAAAAAAAACCATTTTGAAGCTCTAAGATTGTAGTTTTTAGATCTTTCGGTCAAAATTTTTTGGGAATTAAAAAAATATTTGTTGAGGTTTCCTCACATTTTTACCGCAAATAACATTTAGATTGATGAAAAAAAAAAAATTCGAAAAATTTTCGAAATCGTTTTCGAAATTTTTTTTTTGTTCTTTTGGAAAACCTTCCGGATATTGAAGAAAACAAAATCCAATTGTTTCCAGCACGATTCGGCTTCTCCGTCCTCTGCTTCTGTTCATCAACTTTTAATTAAATTAAAGATGATGAGGTACCTATACCAGATTTCGACCCGATTGATACCGTTTTTTGAGACAAATTTCTAATTAATTTTTGTGCAGTCTGTAATCTCTTAAAAAACAGTATTTTCAAACTACCCTTTTTGTTCTCTGAAAAAAAATTTAAAATTTCATCAATTTACACGTTATTTGCGGTAAAAATGTGAGGAAACCTCAAAAAAATTTGTTTTCTATTTTAATCATGATTGTGTAGTGCTCAAAAAACGTTTTCAAAAGTTTGACTGTTTCAAATAAAGAAACGGTTAGCTAGATCGAGATCAAAATTCACAGGGTTCTTCTGGGTATATCGAACTGTAAATTCATGCTTAACTAGTCATTTCGTGAATATTTCTAATTTAGCCGTCAATTTTCTAAAAAACCATAAATTACCCCTTTTTCCAGTTTTTTTAAATTCATGTAAAAAATGAAAAAAAAAATCCGAAAAGTTGCAATACCATGTTATAAGAAATTTCTTCCATTTTTCGAAACTGCCCTTCAGTTCTCTGTACGACCATTTGTCGCCGAGATATCGATGATTGAAGACCTTTTCCATTATAAGTCTGATATTTCGATGAAGAATGGTCGTATCGAAATTTAAAAAAAGGGAAATTGAAGCTGGATAAACAAGCTATCTAGTCCACTCAAAGGCATAGCTGAAAAAAATTTTTCCAAGTCCAAGACTCAAAAAAAAATTTGCAAAATTTTTTGTCGCGCTATTTTTTAGAATTGCATGATAACCGTATGCGTAGCTCCTAAAAATTTTTTACCAGAAGGTCTAAAAACTACGACCATTTTTCACCTAAATACAATCTGTCAAAACTCACGGAAAAATTTCGGAAATTCTTTTGACCCTTTAATTTTTTGCATTGGTTTATTACTACTTATAATTATTTTTCTTTAGATTCCTTTCACAAATCGCGGTGAACAAAATAGAAAACGAAAAAAATTGGATCGACATATTTTAAATTCAACTTACCAATATTTGCAGCTGATTGAACAGCAGAAGATTTTTCCTCAATAATTGATTCTGCGTTCCGACTTAAAATATTGTCGTTTTGCTCACATATAAAGAAAAGTTTATCGTCGCAGTTCAAATCATTCCAAAATAAACCATCGTTCCGTCTCTGCACGAGCTCAATGCACATTTCTTTAGCGTTGTCTGGTTGGTTAGGCATCCAATTTGTATAATCTGCCATTCTGCCAGTTGAGAGCCAAATTATGTTTTTGCCATCGACAAGCTTGGAACCGGAGGACCAAAAGCCATCCCCTGCAACTAAAGAAATTCATTTTGTTGAGACACAGATGATTAAGTCAGTTACTGACTTAATGGTTAATAATAATAATAAATTTTACAAGGATGAAGTAAATGAATTCACTGCCATTACTTTGCCAAAGTATAGAAACAAGTAATAAAAAATTGTATGACATACCTGTTAGTCCTCAACTTAACAGGTTTTCTAAAAGTTTACATTTAAATTAAAAGGCGGACAATCAATACATCTCGGCTGCCTAGAGCAAGAGTGTGCACTTGTTCTGTCATTGATACAATGGTAAGGATTAAATTTCAAAAAATAAATACCTTCTATAAATTAATTATTACAGGGTTAGTCAAATGTATGGAAATCCCAAAAATCTCAACGGGAAAGCATTTTTGGGATAAATGGTGAGGACAAAAGTCTCAGCATTTTTCACGGTGCATCCGATGGTAACCTTGACCTTGAAATCAAGGTCAAGGTTCAAGGTCATATTAAAATCAAGTCGGTTTTTTTAATGGCGACCGAATATGATATTGACCGTGACTTCAAGGTCCATGGTTAAGGTCAGTTCAACATCAAATGTTGATTTTTACTGTAATTTTTTATTTTTAACTACATAATCAGAGGGAGTGACAGTCTTTGACTAGATACATGATGGTACTCAGATACCTGATGGTACTCCTTGATTTTGAGGTTAAAGTCGAAAGAAAATGTCAAGGTTATATCGGTATCTGGAGTAGCGACCCCTTATTTCGACGCTAGAAATAAGAGGGCGTAGAATTCTACATGTTATTATGATCTTAAACGTGACTCTAAGGTCAATGGTCAAGGGCAAGTGATTACTCCGGCTGTCATGTTTTATTTTTGACGATGAAATAGAAGGGACTCAATCAGGTACCTATCTACTTAAAGACTGTCACTCCTTCTGATTCCATAGTTAAAAATAAAAACTTGCAGTAAAGATCTACATTTGACTTTAAATTGACCTTGAGGTCGCGGTCAATGTCATATTTGGATGCAGAATTTTCTGCTCTTTCTATTTCCGGTGTCGAACCTTGACCTTGACCATGTTTTTCGACTATGACTGATAATTGTAAATATTTCTGTAATTCCCTTGATTTCTAAAACGAATAATGGCTCTGTTGTCAAAAGTATTTTTCTATGAATTCAAGAAGGGAAGGACGTATCTTTACCAATTTAAATTATTTCAAACATAGCAAATACTACTATTATCTATACAGGGTGGTCCAGTTTCCGATGCGGAAACTTCAGGGAGCGATAGAGATTCAAAAACTAATATGAGTTTGATATATAAACTATATTCGAAAAATGCTTCCTTAAGGAAATACAGTGTTCAAGATGGGTTAAAAAAAATCAAATTTATTAATTGTTGTCAAACGGCTAAAGATATTTCAATTAAATTTTGTAGACGTTAACTACCATCGAGAGAGCACGTTTTGCAAGCAAAACATTATTTTTAGTTTTGCCAGTGGCGTCTGTATTAGCACGTTACTAGATATTTCTAAAGAAAAAATTGGTACGCCACTGCTTTCACTTAAAATAAAAATCAGTTTTGGATTCTTCATTCAATTTGGAAGAAAAAAACTCTCTTTCAATTTTTCTGTACGACTAAGCGTTTTCAAAGTGGTATTTGAAAAACTATTGAGCAAGTACAACAAAATAACAAATTTATCTGTCAAATAAATTAGTAACTGTGTCACATTTTGTTAGCTCTCTAGTAATTTGATTTGTAATTATTGTTATTGTTTATTAGTGTTATCCTGAAAAATGCTTTTTAATAAAGAAGAATAAGCGAATATTCATTTTTGTTACGGATTTTGTGATGGAAGTGCGGAAACGGTAGTTCGTGAATATCGAAGACGTTATCCAAATGGAAGAATTCCAGATGGTCGTGTCTTCATTGGAACACATCAAAAGTTTCGTAACTTTGGCCTGCGTGTTAATAAGGATTATAACAGAGACTGTTGCAATAACACTATCAGTGTCAAATATTACGAACATTACCACACATGACCACAGGCATGCATATCACCTACAGCCCATTCAAGAGTTACACCCTGGGGATGCTGAAAAGCGATTGAGGTTTTGCCAGTGGCTTTTAAACTCGTCCGAAGAAAATCCTGACTTCTTGCACAAAATTCTGTGGACGGATGAATCCTCATTCAGTACACGTGGAATAACGAATTACTACAATATCCATGTTTGGGCACATGGAAATCCTCGAGAAATTCGGCCGCGATCATTTCAAAATAAATTTTCGTAAATGTTTGGTAGGGAGTTTTTGATAATAATGTTTGTGCTCCACATTTTCTACTTACAAGGTTAAACTCAGAACTATTTCTGGAATTTCTTACTAATAACCTGCAGGACTATACATCGAGGATATACCCGTTAACTTAAGACATGAAAGTTGGTACAACTGGATGGAGCCCCCCCCCTTCGCATTTTGGAATAGCTGTAAGAGTATGACTAAATAGTAATTATCCGCAAGATTGTATTGGCCAACTACGGAGGAGTGATATGAACCATTACGTAGTTAATGGTATTGGACCAGTGCCAGTGGCCTGGCCACCCAGGTCACCGGATCTTAATCCACTGGATTTTTACGTTTGGGGAAATGTAAAACACAAAGTTTACGCTACTCCAGTGTAACAAGAGATGATTTAGTTTTAAGGATTCAGCAAGCCTGCAATTAGGTATATGCAGCGAAATCCAAATGAAGTAGCTGCTGCAATAAATTCATTAGTTACACGATGTCGAAAATGTAATGTATTGAGGTGGGTGGACTATATTTCGAGCAATTTTTTTACCTTTCATTTTTATTTTATTTTGTTGTTGTTTTTGTACATCACTAATTAAATCTATTGTTTTCGTGTTACAGTTTCATTAACATAAAAAATGATTATTAAATTTACAGTGTATATGTTAAAAGGAAATTTTATTTTTTTATTACTTGAAAATGTTGTCGTATAGAAAAATCAAAAGGGAGTTCCAAAACTGATTTTTATTTTATGTAAAAGCAGTCGCGTACTAACTTCTTCTTTAGGAATATTCAGTAACGTGCTAGTACGGACGGCAATGGCAAAACTAAAAATAACGTTTTTCATTGCAAAACGTGCTCTCTCGATGGTAGTTAACGTCTACAAAATTTCATTGAAATATTTTCAGCCGTTTGACAACAATTAATAAATTTGATTTTTTTTAAATCAATTTTTAACACCCTGCATTTCTTTAACGAATCATATTTCGAATATAGTTTATATATCAAACTCATATTATTTTTTGAATCTCTGTCGGACCTTGAAATTTCTTCATCGGAAACTGTACCACCCTGTATACAGTTACTTACTAGTATCTCGAATATATTTGTATAGCCTCACATTTTCTGCCTCTGATTCGATTGAAACTAATTTCATGCCAATCATTTGACAGAACTGGCTAGCTTGCAGGAAAGTCGCCTAAAAATTAAGGTAAATATCATTTTCACATCTTGCTGCGTTTATTGATCTTAAAGGGTCAAAATTTTCCAAACCATTTTGAGTGTACTATTACTTTAAGTGATGGATTTATTATAATTTTTAACTGATTATTTTGATATAAAGATTAATGTTTTTCTTAAGTTCGAAATATGCGCTATAAGAATAAGTAGACGAGAAAAATTACTCACCTTGAAATAATTGCCTATATAGTAACTTTTTCCTTCAAAATTTAGTAAATTTGTATTGGGAAATATGTAATGACTGCCCAAAGAAGACAGGCAACCTACAAGAGGAGATACAGGGTGTTTAAATATTTAAGAATGTAACAAAATTTAGTGAAACATATCTAAAGTCAAAGTCGAGATATATTCATTTTCAGTCTACAGTTGTCAATGCTCAAAAGTAAATTTCGAGCTTTTGCGACGTTTCAAGAATCATTTCCTTAATTTAATTAATTTTATATTACCATATACAAATTGGAAAACTATTTTTCGATGATAATCTTATCGTATTGTTTATAACTAAATATTTGCAGCATGTTCAGCAAATTTTTTCTCCTGCTGTATTAAAAAAAATTAAAGAGATAAATGAATAGACACTAGAACTGCTGGAACCGAGAGGGAATGACACATCGCATTCTTTCATAACACTTCACAGTAATGTACACATAATAGGCCCATTCAGTGATATATAATTTTAAACTTTTTCTTTCATTTTCTGATAGTATTTAACCACCTAAATATATCTTAAAAAAATTAGGTCAATAGGATTAATAATAAGTGATATATTTAATTCTGAAATTGTAAGACCCTTAAAAAGGTCGACACTGCGAGAGAACAGCTAATGACGTCACGATACCGGCCACTCGGCCATCAAGTCGCGAGCAGTCGGAGATATTTGCTATATTATATACCTATATTTTTAAGTGTATAAATAGAGAGTGTATAAGAGATATACATCAAGTCTTGTTGAAATGCATTTTTCACACAACATATTTATTATAAACATAGAATGTCTTGGAATGTCTACATACATTTTCGGATTTTTCTCAATGACGTAAATGGTTCGCTTTTCTACATTTTCTGTTGCTTTCCATTTTTTTACAAATGTACCCAACGTACTAGACTCGGTACTTGTGGATGTATGCGACGACGTGTATGTGCGAGCAACTCAGAACCACCCTCGTTTTTCTTTGATTGCCCGTCTATATTATTATTTAAATAAATTACTTATAGGTGCCTCTCGCAACGTATTTCGAAATTTTTGTGGACGGGAACGTTTAGATGGGGTAGAATTTATTTTTTCGACATAAATTTGAAAATTCTGCTCTAAATGTTTAAATAATAATATTTATAACCTCTTAGACGGGCAACCAAAGAAAAACGAGGGTGGTTCTGAGTTGCTTATAGGTCCCTCTCGCCGACGTATTTCGAAATTTTTGTGAACGGGTACGTTTAGATGGGGCAGAAATTTTTTCCAGCATAAATTTTATAATTCTGCTCTAAATGTTCAAATAATAATATTTAAAACCCTCTAGATGGAAAACCAAAGAAAAACTAGAGTGGTTCTTAACTGCTTATAGGTCCCTGTCGCCGTCGTATTTCGAATTTTTTGTGAACACGAACATTTAGATGGGGCAGAATTTATTTCCGGCATAAAGTTGAGAATTGTGCTCTAAATGTTCAAATAATAATATTTTACAACCCCCTAGACGTGCATCCAAAGAAAAACGAAGGTGGTTTTGAGTTGCATACCGTGGCTGGGGAAACCGTGGATAACATCACACAAACTTTTCATTTTTCGGTAATGAAATAAATATTTTATTCGGAGTCGATCCTGAGGTACTTTTGCAGCCTGGAACTATACAATATTTGTACAATCCTCGGTTTCGACCCATTTAGACATAAAAACAATAATTAACGAAACTGCGAATCGATCCACATATCGTATGTATTAACACAGAATGGGAAGAGAGCGAGCGTGAGCGGAGTGCTCTATTATGACGTCAGGCAATGGTTGCTCAACGTTTTTCCGCGCTCTGTTTTCATTAATTTATTTCACACATTTCTCGTTGAAACAAAAAATTGATTTTTGGCATACTAACTAATTAAAGGGTAAACTTTTGAAATATGCAATACAAAATTTTTACTGAATGGGCCTATTGTAACTAACACTCTTTGAATGAACATTCATTTTGCGGCGGTATCATTATGTCTACATTCACCATATTACAATAATAATAAAACATTACTAATAAAATTAACATTAACTTACTACGATTTTATTTACAGTATACTAACATCAAATACAAGAAGTACAAAACAGACCAAACACGAAGAGACCAAACACAAGTAATTTAAATACCAGGAGACCAAATACCAAATGCAAAAGAGACTTAAGTGCTCAGTGATGGCAGTTAAGAAAGAACTAACGTTAATGTGATCACTGGAATACTGTCGAAATAAAAAACTGCCAAAGAAACATCACGTTTTCCTTTCGCCTTTAATGTTTACAATTTCTCTACCAAATTGTTTCTTTCGCAAGAGTGTATTTATATGTTTGGTTATTCTACTGATACTGCTGCAGGTGCACTAACTTACACTTTTTGCTAATCTACAGCTGGTGAAGACAAACTACATAATATTCAGTGGAATTATTATACTATCAGTATGAATCGACTTCATATCAGATGTTGGGCTAAATGCTAAAACAACTTAACAACAACTGGTATCCAATCAATAGGTAGAAGAGTTTACAAAAAATATCACCTGGAAACAAAAAATATGGTGATATAGGAAAAATATTCGCATAAAGTTAACTTAAAAAATTCATAAAAGAAAAAAAACTTCAATCGAAAAAAGTTAAATGAGAAAGATGTAGTTATTTAAAAAACCTATCGATTCGTATTTTTAAATATATCGATTGCTATATTACTTTTCGAGATTTATAGAAAAAAAACGTCAAAAATCGACTTTTCTTGTTTTTGCCGCATCTCTTGCAAATTAAGGTTTTGAAACTTGTTACTTGCTGTAAATGTAGCCCTCGGCAAGCAAAAAAGTGCCGTTTTTTTAATTAAAACAATATAAAAAAATTTTCGTGTTCGAGTTTTCGAGTACCGATTTTTCGAAAAAAAAGGTCATCTCGAAAATCGGCTCTTCTTGCTCGACGAATAGTAGTCGAGAAACGAATCAGGGCTCATTTTTTTCCTTACGAGTTGTACTTTCATGACAAAAAAGAGTGATAACGATTTTCTTCATTTCAAGTGTCAAAAAATCACTGAAAAAAGTAAAAACTTTTTGGTCGAGTTTTTCTTGAATATCTTTATCGATTTTCATTTGTTGATAATGATAATCTTACAGGAATTGATTGCTGGCATTTTTATCCTAATTTAAAAAAAACGTTGCTCTACGACCTTATGGAGCGGAGATATTTTTTTTTTTCAAAAAATTCCACAGGCCGCTATTTAAGTGCTACAGCGTCCATTCTTACAGAGATTGAAATTGAAAACATATATTCATAAAAAAAATAATGTGGTTCATTTTAGCCATTTCTGCATTTTTAATTGTGCGTCAAACCGAAGCATTCGAGCGCGACGCGAACTAACTCTAGCGGGCGGCAGGGTGGGGGTCACGCTATTCGGCCGCTTCGAAAACTGAATTCGCGTGTTCAAAAGCGCTCTTATTTTCAAAATCTTCATTATCTCGACTTCTGGACTACTACAAAAATCCTTTTGTACTTAATCTGGGGTAGCTCAACGAGATAAACCAAAATATGACATTTGCGATGGTTTCAAAAGCATAATTACCTTTGGAAAAAGTAATTTTCCTTTAGTTTAAAATTCCACCTCTTGTTAACATTTCAATAATTATCTAATAATTGTTTATGAAATAAAGTAAGTACAACGTTTTATGGTAATTATATATTTTTATTATAAAATTATTACAAAATATTTATTTAATTATCGTACAGAAAATTACGCGGAATAAAAATATTACACGTCGATTACATTTTTTATTTTCACAGCTTATGTATATCACTCTTATGTTTCAGTTCTTCTTCTCTACAATTCGCTCGATTGTGATTCACTTTCTTCTTCTTCCATGGTTTCGTTCCCTATTTTTTCCACGCAATCCAATTCATTTTCTACATAATTCGTTTTATCAATGAGTGATTCAAACGCTTCAAAAGAATCATCGTCTAATTAGATGTTTGGAGTTTCAAAATTTTCACATTAGGATTCATCACAATGTAAATAAATAAACTTGTATACTTAAAAAAAATATTAACAATAACAGATTTTATTTTTGCAACCGCTGATACATGATATATTTTTTTATATTTCCTCTGATATTAACGATTCCTGAGTATACACTGGTATTTATATTTATTGTTATAAATAATTATTAAAATGTTAACAAGAGGTGATAGAATTTTAGACTAAAGGAAAATTATATTTTTCAAAACTTTTGAGGGCGGCGTAAACATCATATTTTTGTTTATCTCGTCGAGCTACCCCAGATAGCTGCCCGCTATAGCTGCCCGCTATAGTTACTTCGCGCCGCGCTCGAAGGCTTCGATTTGACGCACAATTAAAACAAAAATGAATCGCAGTATTTTTTTATTGAAAATATAAGTCTTCACCTTCCTTCCCAAGCTCTGTAAGAATAGACGCTGTAGCACTTAACAAGCGGCCAGTGGAATTTTTTTCAAAAAAGAAAAACTTTCTCGGTCGTAGAGCAACATTTTTTTAAATTCGCGTAAAAATTTCAGCAATCGATTTCTGTAATAGACATTATCGAGAAATGAAAACTGAAAAATATATTCAAGAAAAACGCGACCAAGAATGTTAACTTCTCCGTTTATGCGCCACAGGAAAAAACACTACTTTTCCTAGAATTTGTTTTCCTATACCACCATCTTTTTTGTTTCCAGGTGGTATTTTTTGTAAATTTAACATTAGGCTGTGACAAATTGATTGAACTATGGGTCAGATTTAAATATATCACGGACCAATTTTTATTGTCACATAAATTTAGAACATCCTTACCTGCATCCGCGGCCTCACGAGTTATTCGAGGCAGATGTGTGTTTTTTTCGCAGATAAACGTTTGTTTGGAAGCGCAATCTCTATTATTAAAATATAGTCCTTCAGTGCCTACAAACCACAATTCAAGGCACTGCTCATTTACATAATCAGGTTGCCCGTTACTCCACTTTGTATATTCCACAACTTCCATCGTCGACATCCAAATCCATATTTTGCTATCTACTAGCCTAGATCCAGAAGTCCAGAAGTCCAGCTCATCGCCTAAAAATGGTGATGAAATAATACGTGTCGACTTCTGTAAATCGTTTCACTCACCTGCCTGACGGACAAATTTTGTCAGTGCGTCAACTTCCTCCGACGAATGAATTGTTACTAACTTCATCTGAATTTCTTGACAGAACTGATATGCTTCTAAGAACGTGAGCTAAAATATAATCAGTGGCAAATTTGTTAAATAAAGAAGTAAATTATATGAAAACTGTACAAATGGAATAAGCCATAATTGTTTATAGTTTTTCTTTTAATTTTGTTCAAAAAATTAAAATGTTTCTTATTTTATGTCGAGAACGCACAAAGTGAGTGTGATTTTAGAGCTAAAAATATAAATTATATCATTCAAGTAGGGCTATAACTTTTACAGGGCCGTAGTTTGTCATACCTGCAAGTGCAGTTAAAATTTAGTGTAGTAGTCTTATACAAGGTGTTAATGATAAGTTTTGCCAAACTTTAATGGCATATTCTACCGATGAAAATAATCAAGTTTTGTTCTATAAAACTTTTTGATAGGACGTTTCTCTACGGAGATACAGGGTGTTAAAGGCTTTAAATATTTATACTGGTAGATGGATCTTCATTTACAGATTCCAAAATTCTGTCTTCCTAATGAACTGTATGAACAGGTCTTTCTCTTGCTCGACGTTTTGGTAGCGACAAACATGCAATTTCACGAGCTCGACGGTGAACCCCTGAAAAAGTATTCCTTGTTGGACAACGTCGATTTGGAAAAGTCTGTCTATGTCGTTCAGCTTGTCTAGCATTGCCATTTGTTCTACCGTATGTAAAATGTATGTCTGCTAATTCAATATTTGTATAATTGAATACCATATTTTTTATTAAAATCTGTTTTTAGTTGTATGAAAGATCACAAACTTTTTGCAACACACAAAACAGTGGCGTTGTATAGTGTTTTGAAATCTCTCAAAAATATTAGGTATTAAATTTATTGTCACAATTTAGCAATCAATAGAAAATGATAAATAACAACGTAGGTACATAAGTATCTTCTTATTTGGTTTCCCAATTAAATTAAAGTTTGCTGTTATTTTTACTCAAACGGCTCAATTTTTTTTACATTCATAACGCATTTCTTTGGGTGGTAAATACCAATTTCCATCGTACTTTTCAATCCGCCATAATGGGTCCGCCATTTTGGATTTAAAATTTCCGAATTAAAACCTTATTCAGGATTAACATCTTTCAAAACCACCGAGTAAAAGTGTTAGCCATAATCTTCAAATTTTGAATGCTTTTCCGATTTTTAAAACCTCCATATAGGATCCGCCATCTTTTACTAAGAAATTTTATAGTATATGGAATATGATTTTATGTCACATTTTAATAGCAAATACTTGAAAATAACCAACCGTCATATTTACTTTACTACTAAATATTAAAACATGACATAAATGGGACTCGAAAACGGTGCATCGATAAGAAACTAGTACATAAAATCGTACAAAGATCTTGAAAACGAAAAAGTTCAAAAAGTAACCTATAATTTTTTTTGAGACCAAAACTACCTCCAGGCCCTCAAAATAAATATCGATGAATTAAATACAATAGTAGAAATAGGTTCAAATAATATAGCTTTTACCCAGACATTATTAAAATTAGAAAGTTAAACCGAAAAATCGATTTTCTCTCTCACTTTCTTTCAACAGGCAATAATATTACCAAAGAAAAAATAATTTATAAAAATTTATGACGTTATTTTTGCAAGATCTATTCATATCTGAGGCAATGAAGTACAAAATCGCATAATAAAGATAATTTATAATAAAAACATATTTGCCCATCTGAGATATTATTTCTAAAAACTGGAATTCCCTATTTTAGACAATTGTATATTCACCAACTTGTTCTCTTTATCTACAAAAAACAAAAAGTTAGTCATTGTTACTGTACAAGACATAAAGAAAGTAATAATGCAAAAATTGATTTTTCACAAAGAAATATTATAAAAAATATTTCCTAAAAATATATTTATGTATAATTACATTAGGTCGAACAGAAACCAGAATCTAATTGAAATTCTTAACTAAATTGCCTACCTTCCTGACAATCCAAAATTTTTTGTTTGTATGGAAATTGCAAAAATGTAAAGGGTGTTTCATTTAAAATAAGGAAGTTGATAGCTATTTTTGGTATAATGACGGAGAATATGACACCCACAATATTTTCATTGAAATACCTCTAACCAACTTTCTAACCAAATGTCGTAATACATCTTGCTTTCTGAGATCTTTATGAAAAAGAATAAGTTAAAAAAAGTTGTCACGTATATGAACAACAGAAAATTATATATATTAAGGTTTTGGAGTAAACTGCAACTGATATTAAATATCATACAATATAAAAGAAGATACGATAACCTTCTGTTGAACTGTATGTGCCCGCATTATTGATGTTATTAGCCTTATATTAATTCATCAACTTCTCAGCTGAGTAAGTTGAAAATAAATAGAATGTAATACTCTTCTCTACAGACATTGAATTTTTATGCAAAATGCTTAGGACAAGAACGTTGTGTGTGTGATTGATTCAATATAACCTTTTTCCAAGTATTTATTGCAAAATAATTGTAGATATTTTGTTTATGCTTATATTCTTTAATTAATATATATTATTTAAATGTCTTTGTACTTCTATGAACATGCTTTCAAAACACAATCACCGTTCCTTTAAAAAATCTTAAGAATTTTCTGCAGTTTTCCCGTAAAAATAATGTGACCGATATGCATACCTTAAATTTCGAGATATAATAAGACTTTTCTCCAAATTCAAATAATGGAATGGAAGAGGATTGACTTGAAAGTGTATGATCCCATACTAGAACAAATTAGAAAGCCAAACCTGATTAAAAAGAATGTAAGCGTCGTGCAATATAAGGTATAAAGTTTAGGTAACAGCTTTCTTTTATTAGAGCATGCTTACATACCGTCACTAGAAGTTTTCGCCGTTGTGGCAGCCTCTAAATAATACTCATTTAGATAAAATGAAAGAAGCAAAACATAATTCAAATAATGCATTGTACTTTCTGTTAGACAAACTAAATAATAAATGTTACATGAAATCCACACTCATTTCCTTTTTATACAAACGCTAACCGTTATCTCTTAATTTTATTAATACTAAATATACAGGCTGATTAGTGTAAGAGGGGAATTCCTATAGATCTCGCGTAATATAAGATGCACGTCAAAATTGTTTAAACGATTTTGTTTGAATTTTTTAAGGATTTTATGATTTCGTAAAAATAAATTTGAGATCCATGGCCAACTTTATGAGTAATAATAAAAAAACTGGAGAAGTACGGAAAGGTTAAGACTACCTAACTTTTTTATTTTAAGAGATAGAGAAAACTTAGTATTATAAAATTTTACGGTAAAATTCACACCTTTCACCTGGTCCAGATTTTAGAAATATCGTATGTAAGTTGCTGCGCACACTACGCAATACGAGGGCAAAAAAAAATTTCATCGAAGGTCAAAGAATTACTTGTAATTTCCTCTTTCATGTTTTTAAGCAAAATACAGGTTTTCTTATCACATTATTATAGTAGGTACATGTTTTTAGATTAAAGAGAATTGAGCCTTCAACAGATAAATTAAATTAATTGTACAGATAAAGTAGCTTACGCTAAATGTAGTTATAAAATCGCATGTGTTACCCCAGCAATGTTATCATTTGACAAATTGTTTATTGTTGTCATAATTTAGCACCTAATACTGGTATAACTACCACAGACAGATAATAATGATTTAAGTGTGATGCTCAAGCTGACCACCTCGATTTCTGACGCATAGTCGGACGCTTCTGGTGCAGCTTTTATTGCGATCCTTAGGGTTTGAGGAGGCACCGACGCACAAGCTTCTCTCATTTTTAACTTAAGGTCCTCCAGAGTTTCCGGTACCGTATGGAAAACATTATGCTTTATATAACCACAAAGGAAAAAGTCAAGATGTAACAAATCAGGAGAACGGGTTTGCCATGCAATGGTCCATGTGTACTCAATGTGTCTATTTTCTAGTGGCAAATCTAGCAACTCGCCGTTATTTTCCAAGAATCTGCCAAATCGCACCCGTCAGTTTACCATCATTGAAGTAAAATCCTATGAATTTGGTATCAAGAATTCCTACTAAAACGTTTACTGAATACCTCTGTTGAAATGCGGTTTCTCTGTACCAATGTAAATTACCGTTAGTCCATTTGAAGTGGATACGTCTATTAAAAAATCCATTGTTACAAAAGTTAGACCCATCTGACCAGAGAATTCTGTACATAGAAGGATCTTCCCTTTTCATTTGTTGTTACTACCTACAAAATCTTATCTCCTCGCTTTATCTTCCTAACTCAAGTAACGCCTTATTGTAGTTTACTTCAATCTCTGAAAGATATATGTCTTGCTCATATTTTTCCTATTTACATAATTTAAAATTCTATTAATATTACCAATGTTATTAACATAACTGATTTTATTTCCCTGTCCTTCAAAAGATCCACATCTTCTAAGGTTTGCAAAATTACTAGAATTTAAAAAAATTCTTTTGTTGTTAAAACAATTTTCACGTTAGGTAACTTAATGAACAACGCCAATCTAGAGGTTGGAAAAAAGGTGGTTTTCTGTAATTTTCATGAAAAAATCGATACGATATATGATATCAGGAACAAGAAGGCTTTATTATATATGTTTTCAGGTAGTATTGTGAAATTTTTCAAAGAATTTGGATCCAAAATTGCAGCCGTAGGTAGTGGCAAGCAACTACACCTTCTTTTCAAAAGGGCGTATGGCGTATGTGTAACCTTTCTTAAAAGCTTCTCTATATTTGCTAATTCTCACATGGTCGCCTACTTTAAATTTTGTTATTTTATCAGCAATTTTTAAATGAGTATATGTTGACTTTAATAATGATTTCTCATTCCTNGTTATTAGTTGCATTATGTAATAGTTTGTGCTAACTGAGGTGTTTATCAAGTGTTGTGGGTATTTTAAAAAATAGGTGAGTACTAGTTGCATAGTATTAAAATATAGAATTTCTCTCTAGAATTTAAAATAAAATCCGTACCCCAAGGTCAGGACCCTATTGCATGGATTAAAGAGGCAGTCAATCAAGTAATTGAAAAAGGTACAGAAGGTCTTAAACCTGGAGATCAAGTATCTTTCTTCTTCAGCTCCAAAGATTTTTCACGTGGAGATGGATGGGTACGTTTCCAACCTGTAGAAAAAATTACTTATGACGATATATGGAATGTCATAAGCAGTGTTTATCAATCTAATTCAGCGGGTCTCAATACGTCTCTTTTTTGCCTAGGCGTGACTTCTGTGCGGATGCCTATGGGAAAGGGAAGAGGCAAGTTTTACAATAGTTATTCTGAAGAGTGTACAAAACGACGCGGACTTGTTAGGATAGACAATAAAGACAACTTATGTCTACCACGAGCTCTTGTCGTTGCGAAGGCAAATGTGAACAAAGACCCCGAATACACAAAAATCCGCGAAAATGTTGGAAAAATACAGACGCAGAGGGCTATTGAACTTTGCCGGAATGCGAACGTTTATGTCCCCAAAAAAGGTGCAGGTATTCCCCAGCTACAGATATTTCAAAGTTACCTTCAAGGGCATAGAATTGTGGTATACCAGTATGGCAGTAAGGGGCGTGATGTTATTTTCAAGGGATCCACAGAATGTCCAACATTAAATCTTCTTTATCACGAGGGTCACTACAATGTGATTACGTCACTAACAGCCGCATTCAACTTCCTATTGCGAAGAATGTCACGTGCCGTATAATATTAAAAATCATCACATGTGTGGTGGAACATGTTCTGCATGTCAACAATCGCCTGCATGCTCCCGAGATCTTAAAGTTACATGTACTGATTGCCAACGTGACTTTAGAGGACAGAAATGCTACAACAAACACAAAAAAGCAAGATCATTTGGAAAAAGTACTGTCTGTGAAAGTATTTATAGATGTGAACACTGCTCTAAGACAATTAAGAGAAATAGACAACATATTTGTGGGGAAATATATTGCAAGATCTGTAAATCTCACATACCCCCCAATCATCTTTGCTACATTCAACCAAATCATGGTAAACCTAAAACAGAAAACATTTTATTTATATGCTACGATTTGGAGACGAGACAAGAAAAAGTTGTCGAGAACGGTTACCTTCTTCACGAACCTAACCTCTGTGTTTTGTCAGCCAGATGTGACAAATGTATAGGCGAAAGCAATTTATACATGTGTCAAAAATGTGGACCCAGGATAAATACATACAAAGAAAATGTTATAAGTAGTTTTATGAAATACGTATTGACGGCAAGACAAAAATTCAAACAGGTAATTGTTATAGCCCACAACGGTCAGGCGTTTGACCATCAATTTGTACTTAATCACATATTGACCAAGACCGACCTTACACCAGAACTGATTATGCGAGGCACAAAAATAATTTCCATGGTTGTTGAAAATGTAAAGTTTCTAGACTCTCTCAACTATTTTCCAATGCCTCTAACAAAGCTTCCAAAGGCTTTTGGTCTGGGCGACGACTTTAAAAAGGGGTATTTCCCTCACCTATTCAATACAGAGGAAAATCAAAATTATGTTGGTCCTCTTCCAGCTGTAGAATATTACAGCCCTGATACCATGAAGGAGGAAGATAGAAAAAAGTTTTTATCATGGTACGAAGATCATAAAAGTGATGAATTTGATATGCAGAGAGACATTGTCCAATATTGTATTTCTGATGTTGAAATTTTAACAGCTGCATGTGTCAAATTTCGTCATCAACTAATTGATACAGGTAACGTGTGCCCCTTTACTGAAGCCTGCACTATAGCCTCAGCGTGCAACAAAATATATAGGCGTAACTTCCTTAAACCGAACACCATTGGCATTATCCCCAAAAATGGTTACAGATTGAGAGACAATCAATCCAGAATAGCTACACAGTGGCTTGTGTGGGAGGAAAAGCAACGAGACATAAACATTATTCACAGTGCCAAACAACAAGAAGCCATTGTTCAGGGTGTTAAAATCGACGGCTACATTCACGAAACCAAGCAGGTATTTGAATTTCATGGTTGCTATTATCATGGATGCCCTATCTGTTATAAACATAACCGAGATCAACCTCTTTACGAGAATCCATCAGAAACCCTAAATTTACGATATGAAGCAACTACTTTTAAGACCAACAGGCTAAGGAACCTAGGATACGAAGTCATAGAAATGTGGGAATGTCAATTTAGAAGTGATCTAAAAGTAAACGAGGATATCAAGACTTACACTGAGTGTCATCCATTAGTAGCTCTAGCACCCCTAAATCCACGTGATGCATTCTATGGAGGAAGAACAGGCAATACTAGATCATACTACAAGTGTAAGCCATGTGAGAAAGTCAAGTATGTTGATGTTTGTTCATTATATCCGTGGGTTTGCAAGTATGGCAAGTTCACATTAGGTCACCCAAAAGTTTACGTGGGTGAAGAATGTAAACAGATGAACATATATAAGACAGAAGGACTGATAAAGTGTAAAATCGTGCCACCTCAAGAATTGTATCACCCTGTATTACCAGTTAAAATGAACGATAAATTAATGTTTGTACTTTGTCGAACCTGTGGTGAGACAATGAATGATTCAGAGTGTAATCATTCGATGGACGATGAGAACAGAGCACTAACAGGTGCATGGGTCATTGACGAAGTTGTAAAAGCTCTCGAGAAAGGATACAAACTTTTGGAAACTTACGAAATTTGGGAGTATAAAGTAGAGCAATTTAATAAGGCATCAAATGTGACAGGTTTATTCACAGAGATGATGAACAAATTTATAAAAATAAAACAACAGGCGTCCGGTTGGCCTTACCATTGCAATACTCAAGAAGAAAAGAACAAATACATTGAAGAATTCTTCGAAAGAGAAGGTGTTAAATTGGAGTATACAGAAATAGTAGAGAATCCAGGTCTCCGATCACTGGCTAAGCTAATTTTAAATTCTTTCTGGGCAGAATTTGGCCAAAGAGAAAATCAAGCCAAAACAAGGATCATCAGAAACCCTGATGAATTTTTCTCCATGCTCACCAACCCATCCATTTATGTAAACAGTGTGCTTCCTATCAACGAAGATTCTCTTGTTGTTAATTGGGAACACATTGATGAAGCTGCAGATATGCTTTCCACCGTCAATGTTGTTATAGCATCCTACATTACTACTCAGGCCCGTCTTAAACTCTACAGCTACCTGGAACAGCTGGGCGAGAGAGTGCTGTATTATGATACAGATTCCGTAATATTTGTCTCTAAAGAGGGTGAATTTGATGTTGCAGTGGGAGAGTTTCTCGGTGACATGACCGATGAATTAGAAGAATACGGCCCTGGCAGCTATATAACAGAATTCGTGTCTGGAGGACCAAAAACCTATTCATACAAAGTACTCTCTACAGAAGACAATCAAGAAAAGGTGGTGTGTAAAGTGAAAGGTATATCTCTTACATATGCCGCATCTCAGCTAATAAATTTTAGTACTATAAAGGGTATGGTTCTTACACCCTCCCAGCCTACTTCCATTATATCAAAAAATATCAGAAGGACGAAGGAGCATGAAATTGTAACAAAACAAGAATCCAAAATTTACAAACCGAATTCTACCAAAAGAAAATTTTCTGAAGACCACAGTAATTTACCTGTATATTTTTATTATTAGCTTTTAGAGCGGGTCTTACTTTATTGGAAAGGTATTAAGCTTTCTTTATTGTAAAGGTATTACGCTAGTTTAAATCAAATTTCCTACAATTCCTATTAATGAAGTCATGTATGCTTTTTGATACCAAATAAGTATCTACATAAAAGAAATAAGCCTACAGGCAAAGTTGGATTTAATAATTATTTATTATCTAAATCATTATTTCCAAAAAACTAATTGCCATAACTAATAGTTTGCTATTGAGTATTGTCATCCCAAAATAAATTTCATTAATAGTTAACGATGAACTCGCCTCTTTCCGAATGGCCCAAATATATTTATAAGTACATTTATGTTAGATATAATGAAATTGTGTATGTAACGACTACTCCGATCAGTAATTATACCCACAACAATTTACCCGTATATTTTTATTATTAGCTTTTAGTGTTGTAAACTTATTAAGCTGATTGATATAATAATTTTTACAGTTCCTATCTTTGGCACTAATGTATTTGGGTATGCTGAAGAGATAACTCCACAGACAAAGGTGAATTTAATAAATATCTAAATTAGTGATTTGTGAGGCTTCTACGGCCAGAGCTGATATTTAATTTATTATTATTATCGGGTTGTTATGGCCTGGTGTAGGCAATTGGTAACTGGTGGAGATTAATGTTTTTACACATTTATAGGAAATATTTCGTATACTACCCTTCTGTCGTTACCTAAGATGCATTTAATTATAGCAGGAATGGTTATTCAAACTTTTAATGCTCAATAGAAGATTGTTTCAGACAAGGTTACGTATTTCGAGTGCTGTCGGGACGGTATTACCATTTCAGAGTAGTGAAGTGTGCATTTACTTTCATTCATATTAACATTCTGCAATGGGCAGCCTGCCGCAAGCGCTATAATTTTAAAAATATTTGTGAAGTACTGTTTCGACAAAGGACTCCAATGACCCGTATAATCTCTAATCTGGAATTTTGAATTTACCGCTAATAAAGCCTAATCAAGATTTTCAAATTTCTCACCATCAGCTGAAATATTATTAAACATCAATATATCTGCCACAGCGTTCTCGTTGTTAAATGTTACGGTAGTCTAGAGGTAACGTGCTCGCTTTTGAATCCAAAGGCTCGGAGCTCAAATCTCGGAGAGAGTAAACTTTTTTCATTTACATAAAATTACCAACTAACTAGCTTTGAATTTACCATAGGAAACATTTTCTTAAAAAAAGGAGAGGCTCTGATTGGTCAATCAAGCGGTGGGCATGGAGAAAAAGTAAACCTACAAGTAAAGTTGAATCTTATGCACATTCCATGCACGAGTTACGTCACACAAAATTTTCCATGGCTCCCGGCGGTCAAGTGCCCAAAGCGTTTTGAGCTACGCCAACAAATGACTCCAATGACACACCAATTGGATTAACACGTCAACGACCTTTTCAAGGTCACTGCGGCGCATCCTTTGACCTTCTCAAGGTCACGGCGGCTCATCCTTTGACCTACATTTCCCAAGGTCACAGAAATTTTCCCACTGTCCCCGAAATTTTCCCACGGTCAAGTGAACCAATACCTACTCATTAAATGCTGTTAATAAAATTAAGAAGAAGAAGAAGAAATATATTAAAGCTGCCCGAGTAATCCCAATACCTAAGACAGGAGGATTTCTACCACTAATCCCATTATTTGCAGGCTTAAGTGCGCTTGGTGCTTTAGGTGGTGGAGCAGCAGGATTTGTAAAGGCTGTTAATGATACCAAAGATGCAAAGCAAAAGCTTGAAGAAAGTAAACGACATAATATTGCAATGGAAGAAATAGCTATGGGTAAAGGATTGTACCTTACAAGCAAGGATTTGGTATTATTTTAGGACACAACCAACATTCCAAACATCACCGATAAAATTACCGGAACGAGCTCTTACTAATTTAGATTTAATAAGATTGGCTAAGAAATTAAAAATTCAACATTTTCGAGGTGTATTTATGAGAGATAGTTTACCACATCGTGTGCATTATAAAGAATGTGGTATTATTAATCTAGACAATGAAAGAGGCTCTGGAACACACTGGACTGCATATAAGAAAAATGGAGAAAGCAGTATATTTTGATAGCTACGGTAACCTACGACCTCCACGAGAAGTGATACTTTACCCAAATACAAAACGATCGTGTAAAATATTGTATAATCATGAACAGTTACAATCATTTAATACATTCAACTGCTGTCATCTGTGTCTCAAATTTTTGTATAATTAAAAGTGCAGTGAATGTTTTTGAATAGTATACGTCATAACACCGAAGACGTCGAATACTTTTTTAATGTCTGGAAGAAGCTCAACACTTACTTCTAGGTATATTCCTCCAATTATTTTGGATGATAGTAAAGACTACGTCTTTAATAATAAGCTTCAATCCTTCAATTCAATTCCAAATATCGAGAAAAATAAGAACAACAAATTTTATTTTGGTTCCAAGGGTAAATATATTGAGATTCCAGAAGGTAACTACGATATTGAAGCAATAAATAAATATCTACAACAAAAATTAGGTGACTCCAGATGGCTTGATAATGATAACAGTACAACAGTGAGAATTCCTAAAGGGTTTCAAAAGCTCATTTCTATTAAAGCCAACAATAACATTCTCAAGTGTAGAATCAAATGCAGTGAAGACATCGATTTTACTAAACAAGATTCAATAAGACACTTGCTTGGTTTTACACCACGAAAATTGGCTGCAATTGGTAATCATGAGTCAGATTTTCCAGTCGATATTTTCAGTGTAAATACCATTTGCATAGAATGCAATATTGTGGATGGATCCTATATTAATGACAGGCAAGCTCACGTTATACATGAATTTTTTCCTACAGTACCAGCAGGTTTCAAAATTATTGAGACTCTAAGTAACGTTGTCTATTTACCCATCAACACTCGAATGATCGATCAGATTGTTAATATAATCAGTCAAGATGGTGAATTTATCAATTTCGGACGAGAGGTGGTGTCATTAAGACTACATTTGAAGGAAACGTGACTAATAAGTACAATGGTAATAAGGTGCAATAAACGTGGCGGTTCAATTAGTCAAAGAAACTATATAAGAGGTATACATTTAAAACCAGTCGTCTGTTCTACACGAGTCATCAAACCAATAACAATAAGAAATCGAAAGTTTCTTGAGTCTCTTGGTTTTGAGGTAATTTTTAAGAAGTGATAATAAAAATGGATATATTAAATGTCAACGAGAGAGCTTATTTTGATAACACTGTTATTAGCTCTGAGAAACATACTCATCAACCGTACGCTCTACGTCTTTGAATAATAATGATGAAATTCGTATTCCAATACAACAGTAGGATGTCTATACATTACCCAGTGAAAGTTCATTGTATATTGAAGGTAAATTACTGAAAACTGAAAATACAGCATCCAAAACTGCTACATTTGTGAATAACGGTCTCATGCTTTTATTTGATAAAACCAGATATGAAATGGGTGGATATGTAATAGATCGCGTCCGTCATCCAGGTCTAACCTCAATTCTAAAAGGATATGTGTCATTCAATAGATGTGGTACTCAATATCTACAAAATAGTGGATGGTTTCTAAATAACAATGAACGGTCACCTGTAGTTGACGATAAAGGAAATTTTAATGTTATAATTGATTTATCTACAACTTTCGGATTCTGCAAAGACTTTAAGAAAATTATTTTAAATCTGCGACAGGAGTTGGTGTTAATTCGTTCAAATTCGGATATCAACGCTATAATAAATTCTAACGAAAACGAGCCAGTTGAAGTTGTATTAAATAAAGTATTGTGGAAAATGCCTCGTATATCAGTGTCAGATGTGGAAAGGTTGAAATTGGTTGACTATGTAGCTAGGAACAAGGAATTAGAAGTTCCATTTAGGGGTTGGGAACTACATGAGTATCCTCTTCTACAAGAAACTCAGCGTCACACTTGGAATATCAAGACTGCAACACAACTTGAGAAACCTAGATTTGTAATTGTAGGATTCCATAGTAATCGTAAAAATAAATTGAATAGAAATTTTAGTCAGTTTGATCATTGCAATTTAATCAATATGAAACTGTATCTTAATTCTGAGATGTTTCCTTATGATAATTTAATATAAATTTTGAGAACAATCAAATAGCAACCTTGTATGACATGTGTGCAAAGTTTCAACGATCGTATTATGAAAAGGAAAACGAACCCATTTATACGTCTGATGAATTCAAGAAATTTGCACCTTTAGTTGTTATTGATTATTCTCATCAGAATGAAAGTCTTAAATCTGGTTCAGTTGATATTCGACTAGAATTCGAAACTAATAAGGATATTTCTCCAAATACAAGTTGTTACGCTCTGGTACTTCATGATCATTCATTCATGATTCATGATTCTTCCTCTAACTAGTGCTGTAAGAATTGTATAAAACATGTAACTAATAATTGTTAATAAATAATAATAAGTCTTAAAGTGTTTTAATTCATTTAATCCATAATTTCATTTAATAGACAGAGTTCTATTACAATCTTGCAGATGTTCAGAAGGCCAAGGGTCGGAATCGGGACCACAACTCCATCCTAAACGGGCATTTAAATCTTGTTCACCTCTTTTTACATTGTCCTGAATCCATTTGAGAATATTAGCATGACGAATATTTGTTGATGGTTGAAATTTCCAGTACAACTTTTTATACTCTTGTACCGTGCACAGTTTGCAAAGTGTACGGCTTCTAGCATAGTATGCTGCTTTACACATGGCGTCATCTATTTTTTCGTCAATGGCTTTATAATTACTTGATATATTTCTTAGCGGAAAAGGAATGTTCTCAAGATATTGATAATATTTACCATCCAGTAACAATTCAAATAAGTATATTTTGAATGATATTTTAATTGTGGGATGTAATCTTTGCACAATATCATTCAACTGTTTAATGGATACGTTCTCATATCCTTCTTTTTGGCACACAGTTAACACGCTATGAATAAACGCATCAAGTTCTATTTTCTTATCTACCAACAATTCTATGGTTTGGAGAGGAGGTTCTATATCATATTCAGTTAACCACTTAAAAGCTTCCTCTGGTATTGCCACTTCTTCTAAGATATTCTTTAATAACTTGTATTTTTCTTCATCGTAAAACTCGACAATGCAACGTTTTATAAAGTCACTGTAAATATCAACGGTTGCATAATGCAAAGCAATATGCATCTTACTGCATGGGTTTGCCGTAGTCATGTTATTCGTAGGAGAAAAATGAAAAGCAAACTGATTTTGATCGGCTAGGTTGTAACTTATATACCAGTAACTTGCTGACTGGCGAATAAACCAGCAGTATATACACTACTAGTCTACAGGAGACATTTCCGCAGATGATTTATCGAAAACAAATTCTTTTGTTTGCAGTGTCGTTATCTAAAATTCTTTCATAACCCCACGGCATCGTATCTGTGCTCCTAGAATTTAAAATTCTTTTATCATCGTAAGGGTTAAGAATCATCTTACTTTGTCGAATTGTATAGACACAATGCTTTTTAGATCTAATTAAATACTGTGGCTTGTAAATAATTTCGTGATCGAACAGAGTTCTTTTATAGTCTTCAAATGAAATTTTCTTAACACTTGCTGATGTAGAACCCTTTGACTTCTTAACTATCTTGTTATTATGAACTTTATAAGCATACATTTTTGCTCGAAGGCCGATAAATTCTAGCATTATTTTTCCATTATTTTCATCTTTCATCAAACCTGGCACTTTCTTGTTTTTCTGTTCTATTCCATATGGATTATGAGAGTCATAATCAGATGTATCAAATCTGTGACTGTCTTCTTTAATATACTCATAAATATCAGGCACATTCAATTGATAAATTAGACTATCTGTATCTGTGTACAGGAGTTTTGCTTTATTTTTAAATTTTTGTAAGATATAATCATAGTGAAATTCATATAGAAAGGTTTTAGATATATCTAGAACACATAATCCTGCGTATATAGGTTTATTAAATAATATTTCTAATTTATTCATTTCTATGATTATCATATCATCAAAAATGCTACAACTGTGAAAATTAGGTTTTGCAATATACTTTTGAGCGCCATAACGCCCGTCCCATTTAGTGATCATACGGACATCTCTGTATTTTCGTACGTTTTCCAATAATTTGCCGTTTGCCATTTATCATTAATTCATAAAAATTTTTATCAAAATCATTTTTAGATTGCTGACGCAACATGGTGTTTAAATCAATATACTTTTTCAACCACGCAGCTTGTTTAAATCTGAGAACTCTGTTAATTTTCTTTAAGCGTAATCCATGCTTCAAATAAAGTTTTAAATTTCTGTAATAGACAACGTAATTATTTTTTGGATACAATGTTAGTAATAATTTTTTTAATTTTGATCTCGAAGGTATTGGTGGAGTCATGTGTTGTGGAGCTAACGGCAGATCACTATGAATTTGATGTAGATGTAGAAGTGGGATATTCTAAGTCACAGTCGAAAATATAGCCAACATCGGCATTATCTGGAATATTTATTATATCCAAATTTTCAATTTCATTCTCTTCAAGAAATTCAAATTCTCCATATGGTAAATATTCAGACATTGCAGCCCCATATAAATTGTTTACATCAAAATACATTAGATAAGCAGATTCTTGATTTGAATCATAGTGATCCCCCATATATTTATTATTTGCTTTTGCATATCTATTAGAACACTGAGACACTCCTCCACGGATACCTCTCTCAATAAACATAAGTTTTTCGATATCAGTTAAAAGTTCTAGGTGCACTCCCGTCGTTTTAAGCATAGCGTCGAACGCTAAACCTGGAGCAGAATAAAA